CCCCCCCCCCCCCCCCCCCCCAAAATAAATACAGCTGAAAAACAGTAATAATGAATATCCCTGTTCCTTGTGCCAATCATCCTCTTAAACGTTTTATTGCGAATTTGTGAAGCATTCAGCCACGAACAATACATTTTGTAATTTTACACACAATTTGGTGTAGTTTACTGTTAAGAAAACTTTATACAAAATTCATTATTTATCAAACTGTGAATCAGGATAAATTGACATGTAGGTATCTTGTTGAACACAGCTGAATTAACACCCAACCCCTAACCCATGGTTTTAAGGTAGTCTATCAGCCCAAGCAACTGATGAAACGACGACCTTCCTATAATTTCTTCATCACAGTTTCTTTGTAAGATCTGGACAACTGTATCTAAAGCAAAGCAATATGTCTTGCTCGCATCAAATCGTGGTCAATGCCCGTATCCCCTGTTTCATAAGTTGGACCATTAATACAACGACCGTGGCATAATTTCTCAGAGCGCTGTTCCTACGTCTTGCTTTCCTTGACCATTTAAATTACTATTTCTGAAGATTTACCTTACTTATCACCTGAACATACTTCAGACTCATAACTGCAGGCTAACCTACCACACATTATTTAACTCCGACCAAACATGACAAAGATTGGAAGAACATGGTTACATGCTCGCTGGACCTTTATGCTAGCATGTAACCATAGGTATCAACCTTTCCCAATGCCACTGGTTTTTGTCGATGTTCATTATTGGTATTTAAAAAAAAAATATGGTTAATAAACATTTTACCTGACCAATCTGATTCTGTTTAGATCCCAAATACCCTTCACATTACTATCCGATAGAGTCCCTTCCCTCATAAGTATGCATTCACTTCCTGTAAAGTTGGCCTCCATGTTCTATCCTGTAAACATGTACAATCTGTTAGCTCCTATATCTTCAAGAAATTATTCCCCCACCCCATCATCCCTGTTCAGCTGTACGATTTGATTATCAGCTGACCTTAACCTCTGCACAATGCTATCCCCAATGTCCATAACCAGACGCTTGTGCCGCCAGGGAAGATTCACAAGGACCAACTACAGTTGCCTTTGGAACGTAGACAACGTGTTTGCTAACCCTTAGAACATAACGTTGAATTAGTGTGAATACATTCATGTTGTCAAAGATAGTCTCTCTTATTCCCGGAGATCCATTTTCGTCTACTAATACCTTGATGCCAAATACAATACCGCGAACACAGAGAATGTAGGCATTTCGTCGAGGTGGAACAGAGAAAGTGCATACTTATGTACAAATATCCAGCTTGCTTTTGTTCTACACAGTATTAGTCGTTTTCAGATTTATTCCTGGCGAGGACTGCAAATTACGTTCATTTATTTTCTCGACATTTTTTTTTGTCCCACAGAAACCGTATATATCCATTGAACTCCCCTGGAGTCTACATATCTATAGTAGTCTTACCAATATGTATAGAACTACTATTTCCTCGTTTTTCTTTAATTTCAGCGACATTACAACAATGGACCTTCTCGGACATTGGCGATCAGAGTTTATACATAATCTTGTATGTGTGATACGGTGTGTTCGGCTGCGTTCTCGGCTGTAATAACGTCACATCAAGATTCTACAATTATCTCATATGACTTACAATTTATTAAAATAGGAATTTCTTCTTCCGACTCCTCTATCTTGATGGGTTCCCCAGTTTCCGGGTCCACTAGGTTCAGTGAGGACACCTCTGACGTCACTCGGCCAGAATTGGAACCATATGTGTAAGGATTGTTTTTATTAACAGCATTCTAAAACATCAAAAAAAGACATCTTGATTAAATTATAAGCCAGGTTTGACTCTACGATTATACATAGCAAAGCAGCAGACTCACGGTCCATACAACTTTCCCACGGGGCCATGGAATAAACGTGCACGTCAATCAGCACGATATTTATTTATGTAACAAGAAATGTCATTGGTTGATTTTCTGGAATAACCAACTAATCAGCAATGAAATAACAAACATGTATATAATGGTTGCAGTTCGTTTAGATATTCGGATGGTTGCAATTCAAGCTTGAATACAAGGCTGGGTTGTCAGCCGTGCTGATGTACACTTGCAGTGTTATATGTACTTAAACTATCACACAACTACATGTAAGTTCGCTATCTGATCTACGACTAGTGTAGTGATGCTGAATCGTGATGTACACGTCGTGTGTAGATATTAGCTGTGGATGTTGTATGTTACCAATGGGAGATCGCAATGTACTAACTGAATCGTGATGTACACGCCGTGTGTAGATATCAGCTGTGGATGTTGTATGTTACCAATGGGAGATCGCAATGTACTAACTGAATCGTGATGTACACGCCGTGTGTAGATATTAGCTGTGGATGTTGTATGTTACCAATGGGAGATCGCAATGTACTAACTGAATCGTGATGTACACGCCGTGTGTAGATATTAGCTGTGGATGTTGTATGTTACCAATGGGAGATCGCAATGTACTAACTGAATCGTGATGTACACGCCGTGTGTAGATATTAGCTGTGGATGTTGTATGTTACCAATGGGAGATCGCAATGTACTAACTGAATCGTGATGTACACGCCGTGTGTAGATATTAGCTGTGGATGTTGTATGTTACCAATGGGAGATCGCAATGTACTAACTGAATCGTGATGTACACGCCGTGTGTAGATATTAGCTGTGGATGTTGTATGTTACCAATGGGAGATCGCAATGTACTAACTGAATCGTGATGTACACGCCGTGTGTAGATATTAGCTGTGGATGTTGTATGTTACCAATGGGAGATCGCAATGTACTAACTGAATCGTGATGTACACGCCGTGTGTAGATATTAGCTGTGGATGTTGTATGTTACCAATGGGAGATCGCAATGTACTAACTGAATCGTGATGTACACGCCGTGTGTAGATATTAGCTGTGGATGTTGTATGTTACCAATGGGAGATCGCAATGTACTAACTGAATCGTGATGTACACGCCGTGTGTAGATATTAGCTGTGGATGTTGTATGTTACCAATGGGAGATCGCAATGTACTAACTGAATCGTGATGTACACGCCGTGTGTAGATATTAGCTGTGGATGTTGTATGTTACCAATGGGAGATCGCAATGTACTAACTGAATCGTGATGTACACGCCGTGTGTAGATATTAGCTGTGGATGTTGTATGTTACCAATGGGAGATCGCAATGTACTAACTGAATCGTGATGTACACGCCGTGTGTAGATATTAGCTGTGGATGTTGTATGTTACCAATGGGAGATCGCAATGTACTAACTGAATCGTGATGTACACGCCGTGTGTAGATATTAGCTGTGGATGTTGTATGTTACCAATGGGAGATCGCAATGTACTAACTGAATCGTGATGTACACGCCGTGTGTAGATATTAGCTGTGGATGTTGTATGTTACCAATGGGAGATCGCAATGTACTAACTGAATCGTGATGTACACGCCGTGTGTAGATATTAGCTGTGGATGTTGTATGTTACCAATGGGAGATCGCAATGTACTAACTGAATCGTGATGTACACGCCGTGTGTAGATATTAGCTGTGGATGTTGTATGTTACCAATGGGAGATCGCAATGTACTAACTGAATCGTGATGTACACGCCGTGTGTAGATATTAGCTGTGGATGTTGTATGTTACCAATGGGAGATCGCAATGTACTAACTGAATCGTGATGTACACGCCGTGTGTAGATATTAGCTGTGGATGTTGTATGTTACCAATGGGAGATCGCAATGTACTAACTGAATCGTGATGTACACGCCGTGTGTAGATATTAGCTGTGGATGTTGTATGTTACCAATGGGAGATCGCAATGTACTAACTGAATCGTGATGTACACGCCGTGTGTAGATATTAGCTGTGGATGTTGTATGTTACCAATGGGAGATCGCAATGTACTAACTGAATCGTGATGTACACGCCGTGTGTAGATATTAGCTGTGGATGTTGTATGTTACCAATGGGAGATCGCAATGTACTAACTGAATCGTGATGTACACGCCGTGTGTAGATATTAGCTGTGGATGTTGTATGTTACCAATGGGAGATCGCAATGTACTAACTGAATCGTGATGTACACGCCGTGTGTAGATATTAGCTGTGGATGTTGTATGTTACCAATGGGAGATCGCAATGTACTAACTGAATCGTGATGTACACGCCGTGTGTAGATATTAGCTGTGGATGTTGTATGTTACCAATGGGAGATCGCAATGTACTAACTGAATCGTGATGTACACGCCGTGTGTAGATATTAGCTGTGGATGTTGTATGTTACCAATGGGAGATCGCAATGTACTAACTGAATCGTGATGTACACGCCGTGTGTAGATATTAGCTGTGGATGTTGTATGTTACCAATGGGAGATCGCAATGTACTAACTGAATCGTGATGTACACGCCGTGTGTAGATATTAGCTGTGGATGTTGTATGTTACCAATGGGAGATCGCAATGTACTAACTGAATCGTGATGTACACGCCGTGTGTAGATATTAGCTGTGGATGTTGTATGTTACCAATGGGAGATCGCAATGTACTAACTGAATCGTGATGTACACGCCGTGTGTAGATATTAGCTGTGGATGTTGTATGTTACCAATGGGAGATCGCAATGTACTAACTGAATCGTGATGTACACGCCGTGTGTAGATATTAGCTGTGGATGTTGTATGTTACCAATGGGAGATCGCAATGTACTAACTGAATCGTGATGTACACGCCGTGTGTAGATATTAGCTGTGGATGTTGTATGTTACCAATGGGAGATCGCAATGTACTAACTGAATCGTGATGTACACGCCGTGTGTAGATATTAGCTGTGGATGTTGTATGTTACCAATGGGAGATCGCAATGTACTAACTGAATCGTGATGTACACGCCGTGTGTAGATATTAGCTGTGGATGTTGTATGTTACCAATGGGAGATCGCAATGTACTAACTGAATCGTGATGTACACGCCGTGTGTAGATATTAGCTGTGGATGTTGTATGTTACCAATGGGAGATCGCAATGTACTAACTGAATCGTGATGTACACGCCGTGTGTAGATATTAGCTGTGGATGTTGTATGTTACCAATGGGAGATCGCAATGTACTAACTGAATCGTGATGTACACGCCGTGTGTAGATATTAGCTGTGGATGTTGTATGTTACCAATGGGAGATCGCAATGTACTAACTGAATCGTGATGTACACGCCGTGTGTAGATATTAGCTGTGGATGTTGTATGTTACCAATGGGAGATCGCAATGTACTAACTGAATCGTGATGTACACGCCGTGTGTAGATATTAGCTGTGGATGTTGTATGTTACCAATGGGAGATCGCAATGTACTAACTGAATCGTGATGTACACGCCGTGTGTAGATATTAGCTGTGGATGTTGTATGTTACCAATGGGAGATCGCAATGTACTAACTGAATCGTGATGTACACGCCGTGTGTAGATATTAGCTGTGGATGTTGTATGTTACCAATGGGAGATCGCAATGTACTAACTGAATCGTGATGTACACGCCGTGTGTAGATATTAGCTGTGGATGTTGTATGTTACCAATGGGAGATCGCAATGTACTAACTGAATCGTGATGTACACGCCGTGTGTAGATATTAGCTGTGGATGTTGTATGTTACCAATGGGAGATCGCAATGTACTAACTGAATCGTGATGTACACGCCGTGTGTAGATATTAGCTGTGGATGTTGTATGTTACCAATGGGAGATCGCAATGTACTAACTGAATCGTGATGTACACGCCGTGTGTAGATATTAGCTGTGGATGTTGTATGTTACCAATGGGAGATCGCAATGTACTAACTGAATCGTGATGTACACGCCGTGTGTAGATATTAGCTGTGGATGTTGTATGTTACCAATGGGAGATCGCAATGTACTAACTGAATCGTGATGTACACGCCGTGTGTAGATATTAGCTGTGGATGTTGTATGTTACCAATGGGAGATCGCAATGTACTAACTGAATCGTGATGTACACGCCGTGTGTAGATATTAGCTGTGGATGTTGTATGTTACCAATGGGAGATCGCAATGTACTAACTGAATCGTGATGTACACGCCGTGTGTAGATATTAGCTGTGGATGTTGTATGTTACCAATGGGAGATCGCAATGTACTAACTGAATCGTGATGTACACGCCGTGTGTAGATATTAGCTGTGGATGTTGTATGTTACCAATGGGAGATCGCAATGTACTAACTGAATCGTGATGTACACGCCGTGTGTAGATATTAGCTGTGGATGTTGTATGTTACCAATGGGAGATCGCAATGTACTAACTGAATCGTGATGTACACGCCGTGTGTAGATATTAGCTGTGGATGTTGTATGTTACCAATGGGAGATCGCAATGTACTAACTGAATCGTGATGTACACGCCGTGTGTAGATATTAGCTGTGGATGTTGTATGTTACCAATGGGAGATCGCAATGTACTAACTGAATCGTGATGTACACGCCGTGTGTAGATATTAGCTGTGGATGTTGTATGTTACCAATGGGAGATCGCAATGTACTAACTGAATCGTGATGTACACGCCGTGTGTAGATATTAGCTGTGGATGTTGTATGTTACCAATGGGAGATCGCAATGTACTAACTGAATCGTGATGTACACGCCGTGTGTAGATATTAGCTGTGGATGTTGTATGTTACCAATGGGAGATCGCAATGTACTAACTGAATCGTGATGTACACGCCGTGTGTAGATATTAGCTGTGGATGTTGTATGTTACCAATGGGAGATCGCAATGTACTAACTGAATCGTGATGTACACGCCGTGTGTAGATATTAGCTGTGGATGTTGTATGTTACCAATGGGAGATCGCAATGTACTAACTGAATCGTGATGTACACGCCGTGTGTAGATATTAGCTGTGGATGTTGTATGTTACCAATGGGAGATCGCAATGTACTAACTGAATCGTGATGTACACGCCGTGTGTAGATATTAGCTGTGGATGTTGTATGTTACCAATGGGAGATCGCAATGTACTAACTGAATCGTGATGTACACGCCGTGTGTAGATATTAGCTGTGGATGTTGTATGTTACCAATGGGAGATCGTAATGTACTAACTGAATCGTGATGTACACGCCGTGTGTAGATATTAGCTGTGGATGTTGTATGTTACCAATGGGAGATCGCAATGTACTAACTGACAGCTACTGTATTTCGATGCCAAGGAAGTATTAAGATGAAGGTAAATAATTAACCTGTCAATCCTGACAGCTCCAGGTGATATATTGTAAACGGGTTTATCACATTTTTAAAACGGGATATTTTACAAGGACAACCTAGTACATTACCGATTTAATTAACAGACGAGGCTATTAATTGTGTTGCGGTCGTAAATAACTTGTCACAAACAAGTATCGATGAACTTTCGGAATGTATATATATGTATATCTCCTTCATTAGTGCCTATATCGGCGTAACAATAGAAATCGTTTGATTAATAAACCTTTCATAAATAGATTGTTTTTCCTTACTTTGTTTGCATGAAATCTCTTAATACAGTTGAGTCAATTTCAAACATAAAATTTGATGTTGATATCAAACACTTAACACTGCTAGCGAGCGGTGATCTGACAAAGCGTCGGCCAACAGTCTACCTATACTAACACCTAGTATATAAGGAGGAAAGGGATCGTCAAAATGTTTGTGTACATTGCGTTTATTTTTTTCAAAACATGGGTTCATAGTGTTTGCCTAGTATGAAGAGAAACACATTAATATACACATACCACCGATCCAGTTCCAGATTCCTCTGTAAAGTCTTGTTCCTCTTCCGTGCCACTGTCTGTACCAATCTGACCATCCGACCCGCTGTCCGTTCCTCCACTCGAACCAGTGTCGGTCTGTCCGTCGGTGCCACCCGTAACTGTCTCGCCGTCCGTTCCTGTTCCTCTACTAGAGTCAGTGTTCGTTCCTCCATCTGACCCACTGTCGGTCTGTCCGTCGGTGCCACCTGTACCTCCACCGGTGTCAGTGTTCGACCCTCCATTCAACCCGGTGTCTGTCTGTCTAACAGTTCTCCCAGTATGTGTTTGTTCGCCCGAGCCACTTGAACTGTGGGAAACTGTTTCTCCACCATCAGCAGATGGTTGCGTTGTGTATTTTGATTTGCCCATTTCATCTGCATAAGTGACGTCACCATGTTCATCGACCGGTGTTCCAGTTCCGGTGATAATTTGACCTGTGACCGGAGACCCCGTAGCTCCAGGACTGGTCCCTGTAATGGCGGGCGTGACTACACCCACTGGGCTTGTAGTTGACGTAGCGGCAAGTTCAGCATCATATTCTGCGTCATGTACGCTACACGGATCTACTGTCACCTTCTTCCTTTTCTTCTTTGCAACCTTACTCGTCAACGCGCTTGGATTCTCTGTCAAAAATATATAGAGTTTTATCCAAAAAGTGATGATTGATTGTCAGGAGTTTATTCTCTAGTTCTACCGACGTTTTCAGCAATTATGTTATATTTGAGAACCACTTGACGAGAATTGTTCAAAACGGTGTTACGTTACACAAAGGGGGTTCTTTCCCATTGTAAAGTTATCACAATGAGAAGGAAAGTCATACGTTGGGAGTTATGAAACACGTATCAGTTATTGGAGATAACAAAATATAATACAAGTCTGTGGGTCTTCTTTTAACTTTGTTTTTCAATGGAGCCTATATCAATGAGTGGGTCCAGTACCCTATAATTCTTGAATCCCTAAATGTTAGAACATGTCAGTGAGTTACCTCCCATCCCAATGTTGAGAGTAATGCCATCAGATGAGACCTTCATTTCTAGAGGGTCCTCGTCTTCCGCTGTACTCGTCCCACTCCTACGGCGACGGCGACGCCGGCAACGCTCCTTTTCAAAATTATTCAGAACAAGACCAGACATGGAGAACACAGCTCCGGCACTTCCGGCTTGTACCATTTTGTCCTGGAAGGCGAGTGTTGTCACCAATTCAATAGGTATATTTGTATTATCACAACAATGTAGGTACACACAGAGTCAGGTGAAACTTTTCTCTAATTGTTGTTCATTGATTATTTTCTTTATAGATTAATGCATGTTGTATCACTGTTTCGATTTAAAGATATTTGGTTGTATGGATGAAGCAAACGCTATCACAATATGACAAAGGCCATCTCCACTATTACTTTTCACAAATTTAGAAATAGAATAATATTGATCATTAAGAATTTCATTTTACATAGAACATAAATCATGTTAAGGAAATAACGATATAATAACACACATCAGATGGAAATTTATATCACAGCCGTACCTAAACCCTATACTGGTTTGGTACAATTCTACTAACAGTGGCAATGCTTATTTTTACTGACTAGGTTTAACTTCCGAATGTAAACATCAATGATTTAAGTAAAATACGTCTTTGAATATAGTAATAGGACAATGAAAACGAGACAAAACATCATAGGTATTCTAACAAGGATTGCCAGTACTACATTTAGAAGTCTCAACAAAAGTTTACTCTAAAACAAGTCGTGATACATGTATAAAGGTCAACAGTTGTACATCGACTTACTAAATATTAAAGTTACTTTTCTCCAAAGCTTTAGAAGGTAGGAGGTTTTTATATCAACAAACATTGGGGAGAATGCAGAAAGGTGAAGATCGTAAACGCTTCTAAATTATTCAAAGTACGTGATGTTGATGGCAAAAATGAAGGTATTGAACTGAAAAGACGTTATTTCTTTCACCCGATGGGCTTTTTAACCCAGTTCCATCGTATAATATAGAGCTAGCATATTATAAGACCAGTAATGATAAGTTAAGCCTCTCTTTGAGATTTTTCAAGTATGTCTTATTCCATAAGCGTGTATCCCTCCCCTAGTTCGCATCAATATTGATAAATCGGTAAAATAATAGTGGTCAGTTGTTTTAGAAATATTTTTCGACTAACAATATATTTTAATATTCTGAGAACATTAATAATATGTTCAATAATATGATCAGACCAGGTCTGATTCCATACCATAGCCCGCATTAGCTTCAGAAAATGTACAGGTTTGCTTATACTTACCGCCGCCTTCGTTCGTTGAATTGACAATTCTAACTCAATCTCACAGGCATCCAGAATGACATTTTGAATGTCAAAGGGATCCCACTCCAGCCCCAACCGCATAAAGAGTGTAACAGGTTCTTCCTTGAGGACAGCTTTCGGGAATTTTACATGGTCGATTCGATTTCGTACTGCTGTCCTGAACTCTGCGTAGTGGTGAAACAGAAAGTCGTACATGTCTCGTAGGATGGCATTCGGTATCAGGTTCCCGGCCTTAACTAAAGCATCATATTTCGTTGCAGTCTCAACATCCTCATCTGGGGCATCAGGGTTAGCTCGACGCTTGCAACGTTGTGCTTTTTTCTCCTCTTTTTTCTCTGCTTCACCCGTAGGCGCAACGTTACTCAGTGTATTTACTTGATCTGAATTAAGAAATTAAAAAAAATAGAAACCTCTATTTTTCTTCATGTGTTTTGGCTTTTATTACATATCCAACTCGAACTCATCGGTTTTAAACAGGAATGGATTTTGAACAATTTAATCCGGTTTTATGAGCTGGGAACGTGACTTCACTAATCGTCTTCGACGTCGCCAATGGTGTTTCATTCGAGATATTTGAAAAAGCAAATTGAACATTAGAGACGAGTACTGCTTTGAAGAAAATATTTAAATGTATTAATAAATACAGTATGTGTTAGAAATAAAAGACATACCGTACATGTGTTCATCTAACGTCTCAGACTGCACTAATTAATTACGTAAATGAATATATTTAAATGGGGCAAACATCATCGGGAAATCGGGAAATATATCCATATGTGCAATACATTCGTGAAATCTGCATCGACAGATGAACAGATTTGTGTGATGTTGCCTATTTGTTTGAAAAAAGGTAAATACGCATTAAAGTAGTGTGTTACGATAATGCACATCATTGCATGAACTAGCCAAACAAGTGACATTGCAAAAAGTAGGCACATGCGAAGAAGGACTTAAATAATGTCCTCAATTATCAACGAGACGCTTGTCATCCTGCTTCATATCATTTTGATATGGACTTTGAGTTTCACGCTATTTTGATATCTGTCCCGTCACGAATTTACTTTTGTTGATAACATCCCTAAATCTATTAATTTAGCGGTTTGGACCAATTCTTTCTTACGTATATACTGCTAAATATATATATTAATAGAAAGTATACCTCCTAGTGTTGCCTCCAGCGCTGTGTTGTCCTGGTTGGCGAATTTTGTCTTGATTAGGTCTCCTGTGTTGTTTATAGCACCAGCAGCTTTTTCCTGTAATAATAAATTGTCATGATAATCAGAGAAATATTCTTACCGAACAACTGTATAGGACGAGGTGTCGTGAATCACAAGGGAATACAGAACCTGAAGACGACTACTTACCCGCGCTGTGTCGGTCGACCTGCTGGCGGTGAACGTCGTACACGTGCTGATCACTCTGTTCACCTGGTCGGCGTCAGTAGCGTAGTTGGTCACGGCGGCCACCACAGTCAAGGCCAACTCCTTCAACTATAGTAATTAATTCAGGGTCAGATTACCCAGTAGCTCATGACAAAAGATAGAGCATCACACACAAAGTCAGGACAAATAAAGTGGGATGACAGTACACACGGGACAAAGAATCTTTAGTCATAATATCCAGCCTAATAATTGTTGTGGGATCACTGAAATACCATGCCGAAGGCACCCAGCAACGCATTCCTTCCGGTAACATTATACTGAGAGCGGGTGAACCAGTTGTTGTCATTACCCTAAATACTAAACGTAAAGAAGGGAATAACAACTATCATTTTTAAGGAATGTGATATGTCGCGGCCTTGGACCGGATCCCATTGCCTTCTGCATATGGGCGAGCATTCAACATTAAAGCCAATAGTGAGGTATTACCAAACAAGACGCTAGGAAATAAAAGGTAGCTAGAAGTAGAGAAAAATATGAAGATCCAAAATACTACAATGGTTATCAGATTTATTTTGGTCGCCTTTCGTGTCCCTAAATAGAGGTCTCAAAAACGAATCCCTTATTATGTCGGGAGGCTCCCCCATTAGTAGCCTCTAACGACACATGCAGTGAGTAACAGCTGAATATCCGTATGATTTTCAGTTTATTTTCGGTACCATGACATGCATAAATATCTTTGGTTCCCTAAAGCCATGGGGACGAATTCATAACATATAATTTTCTGACAAAGATCGGCTTAATACCAAACACCACTGAACATGGCTACTAACCTGGTCTTGTTGTTCTTGTGCCTCTGAATCATTACCTCTCTACAACACAAAAACAAATAGTACAATCATGCGCCGCGCCTCTGTTATTACATAGCAGTTATCGGGTACCTAAATATATATAAGAATCTTAATTTTATCTTGACTCTAACTAGAACCATTGTAACTAAACAATAAGATGCTTCTGAAAGGTAAGAATATTAGAAGATACATTTAGATAATAAACACATATTTTTTAGAGTAAGCAGCCACTGACTCGTTACATGTATCAATTGGACTGTAAAATAATCTACTAAATAAGAAACCTTTATCCTATCACATACTTCTTTAGCTGAAAGCTTTCGCTTTTATTTTACGTTTTTTTGTTATTCTTAGCTGGTCATTGGAATGAAAAGATATGAATATAGCTCATTCAGTGAAATCCAGTGCTACATATAGTGGTTGATCTCAGCATTTCAAAATTACACAATCATTCCATAAATGAAGGGCAACTATTATTTGTTGATCCTTAAATTTGTTCCGTATTTTTAACAGTCAATTCGAGGAAAGTATAAGCGATTAACGGCCACACCAAGTTAAGCAGGGTATGTACATATACGTATATTTTTCACAGATAACTTACCGAGGCACCGGCTCCGATTTTGTTTACAATATCCAGAGCTTTTCCGGTGTCCTTCAGATTGGCTGCGTTCACAAGCATGTTCATCTGCTCCTCGAAGTTGTCGTACTCCATGCGGATTAATTTACTGGCGGTACCGATGCGATCCTCCTTTGAAGCTATCAGCGAGAACACTGTTTCTGTGGCAACGAAGTACGAGGTAGAAGTAGTCACCTTGCCGTTGGAAATTTGTATTGTGTCCTTGAAACCTTCCAGATCCGTCAAGCAATTTTCATACTGATAAATTCTCAAAGCGTTCATCGTCTGAGATTCATAGATGACGTCTTCGATCAGCAGCTGTGTTACGTTGCCCTCTAGGAAATCGTTTACGTCCATGGAGACAACTGCATCGTAAGCTTCCCTCTGGAAACAGATTAGGTCGAACTCAACTCCTTCTCTGATGTTAGATGTGAGGTCAGGGTCGTGCGATTCTGTGAAGTCCATGGTGAGTATACCGTTCGAGAAAAACGTTTCTTCGGGGTCGCCTTTGAAAGTCGCAATGGGATTCGACGGTACAATTCGGATATAGACTTCTTTTAGATTGGCTTTACGTTTAAATCCAACAGGAGATACCACAGCCACCAGCTTGTACAGTCCGAAGTGGAGCGAAAGAGGCGGTATGGTGAAGACATTGTCATTTTGTTCCAGTTTACACAAGTCAGTATATGGTTCTTCTCGGTTATCGAAAATCTCGACAGCCTTCCATGTGTACTCGAATCCATTGCCACCACAATTGGTTGACCGTGCCTGAACATCGATGTCAATTGCAGTAGATCTAATATGAACATACGGCTGTTCCTGTGACGTGTGGTAGCCAGGCATCTCTATGGCGGTGTCGCCACACATTGTGTCGTCACTATCGTCTACAATGATGTAGGGACAGAGCACAGCGCTGGCAGAGGAGAACACGTTAGATATGTTGGCCTTAATCTCATAGTAACCGACCGTCGAGTACAAGTGTCGTACTGTGACGACGCACGAGCAATCACTTACAGCGATCGACTTTGCCTTAGACACGGACATCGAAGATTCACCGTCACCCGGACTTGTGACACTATCATTGACAGTCGGTACCATTGTGCTAATGGTGAAATTATTGTTGGCAGTCGAGCTTGTCTGCACTGCACCAGTGTCACGCTTTCGTCTAACTACTTGGGCAGATTCTGTTTCTTTCGTGTATACTAGGTCACGGTCGGTGAATAAGAACGGATGGTCATCCCCGAAATCTACGTAGTACGTTATGTCACTTCCGGTGAGCAATGTGATGTTGATTTCGGCGTACTCACTAGTGCTGACTCTGCCGGTAGTTGTTGTCTTCAGGTCCATGTATGTGATGTTCTTGCCCACCTGAACCAGAGTACAGTCGAAAACTCGGCTGATGCTGTTGGACGCCGACACACAGATTGTGTATATACCCCAGTCCTTGTACACGTAGCTGTTGTTGTACTGAGTGAAGTATGTGGTCGGACTCCTGTACGTATACTCTAAAATATTACCGTCGTCATGGTCGATCTCAAAGGTGACCTTGTCCGGACCGTCATATCCGTTGTTAATGACTATTCCAAGTACGACAGGGTCGTCCTTGTTTGTGATGTTACTGACCGTCAGTAAGATGGACACGATAGGAACTTCAACCGATATCAGGTCCTCGACTTCCGTTTTTCCAAGGTCGTTAGATACGGTGACGTGTAGGGGATAATAACCAAGATTTTCATACTCAACCTCGAACGGGAACGTGACCGGTCGAGTCGCTTCATAAATGTAGAACGACACTTCTTCTCCCAGTCCAAAGGTGCACGTGACAAACATGTTGTTACCAGGGGGCACTAAAACAGTGATATTGGTCGTCAGATTCCACGCCCCTTCTCTGTAGTCGGGTAATATGGAGGCGTTAGTTGGAACGTTTTCCATGAAGAGCATTGTTTCATGAAATATTTCGCCATCAAGTTCTAACGAAATAATGTTTTCAAATGGTTTAAGGAGAGATGGAGGTATTGTTATATTCTGGCCTGTCTTGTTTACCGCCACGGGCTTATCATAATTACGCACGACTCCAATATCAGAGACAAATACTTGTCCTCCAGTCACCGACACGTCAAACGCTTCGCCCAGTACTTTATAAGAGAATGGCACATCGAACCGTTTCGAAAGGAACATCAAAGACGTAGAATTAGCCCCGTATTTGTTATTACATTGAGCTGTAACTATAGACTGTCCATAAGTGGTAAACATATGATCGAACTTTTCATGGTAAAAATATTTGTTTTCGAAGTTGTAACTCAGATCGTTATTATCGATGAAGTCTATTGCGCACCTTGATAATTCGGCAGGATCGGTCACAAACAAGTCAAAATTGCCGTATAATTGTCGTTTTTCATCATGATAGCCAAGCAACACAACCATTTCGGGAGCCGTATTTTCATCAACGTCTCGTATCTCAAAACTGAGATGGGATTCAAATGATAGAATACCGACCCGGGAGCGGACAGTGATGGTGTGTTCGCCCGCATCCTTCCAGAAGTAGTTTACAGAGGTCAGGTCTGTACCAAAGACGACGCCGTCCCCACAATCCACTTCGTAGCTGGTCTTGGCTATGTGGTTGGGTTTGATCTCAATAACGACAGTTTCCATCGGTTTGACATAGTCCCGTGTCTGCAGTTTGTTTACGCTCACCGTCATCGAGTATGGGTTGTCTTCGTTAACACCGGACGCACTAAAAACCTGCCATACAGAGTCACTGCCACATGAGCCATTCCCTTTATCAATTTTGGATAGTATGTCACGGTTTGTGCATGAGCACAAGGTACCGTTCTTTACAAGAGCAATGCCGAGTTTATCGCTGCACAAATTACGGCAGATCTCCACGGGGTGTTCCTCTCCGAATAAATCGACAGCAATGAAGTTTCCAATGTCTACCGTTTCTGGAACACAGCCGGGATATGCCAAAGTGTGCACTGAAAACACAAAATGGCATATTTCATTGTGATAATACATGGATGTGTGTGTGTTTGATCTTCATTATAAAAATAACGTCTTACGGAAACTTAAACATTTATTAAGTCGTGATGCTCTTTTGTGAATTTTCTCATCATATTTTGAATGCTTGAGCTCATTCTACACGATCACTTCCTTCTTTACATTCATTCAAAAGTTTTCAACTTAGTTCAGATTAGAAGAACTAATAGATGAAACCACGTTTTCACACATCCTCTTTAGTTGTATGATAGCCACGCCGATGTCAGTGATTGGTGGGATGGACTCATTGGTCCTATTTTAAGAAACAACAATAGCCTCATTTTTAAGTAACTTTATTCTAGCCTCACATTGCTCTCTGTGATTTGATGTCGCATGGCATTTGACTGGGTTAAAACATCAACATGCTACATTAAAAAAAAACAGAGAACGTGATTAATTTGCTTGTATAACTAATACTCGTGCCCTCTTCTATCCGATTTGGTCTTGTTTTCATATATAGCCCTATTTTATTAATGAGCTTATCATCACTTACAAAAATCTAGCCAAACATGTCGCAATGTGATGTCTTGAAAAACAAGAAATGTATTGACCCCCAGAACCTGAAATCAAAACACTACACACCCGTCTACTTCCGCTCGATCTCTACCAAGAACATGATCAACAGGGGCGGCCTATTACTACGATTTCCTTTGAAAAGGACGATTTCTCGACTTTCCGATCGAGAACTTTCTCTTTGTGGATAGTAACAGATGTAACAGTAGATTTGACATCCAAAGCTTGCTCGGAATATGATGACTTCTGTTATAGATGTCGACTGCTGACGGACAACTTGCTCATCTGAGTGCCTTGTGACACTACCTCAGTTCTTAATTCGAGGACGTGACATTACTTGGCGCCGAAATATTGTAAGATTTTATGATGAAAAATTGCATTTTTTTAATGTGAAACCTAACAGTTTATTCGTGTACTCAGTGGCTAATCGGAAATTAGGTTCAGGATTGATACATATATGTAATTCTATATGTTTAGGTTATTTTGGTTAATATTTTGAACAATTTGAATTCTTTTTAGTACGTATTTAAAAAGTCAATGACAAATATTATGTTGTTTATTAAGCTTATTTCCGACTAAGAATTTAAATAAGAGTTTGAAATAAAAGAAATAAAAAAGACAAAAAAAAGTTACAATTCTACACATATCAACGTTGCATGTATGAACATAGATATACATTTGTACCTCCAGGACTGAAAATGCATCTAAGTGTAAAAGCTGATAAAGTCAATCTGTTTTGGGATTTCAGGAATATCTTGTTACGTTGCATCTCACTTTCAAAGTGGTCAATTATGACCTTTGCCTTTGAGTCAATGTGATATCAAGAAAATGTAATAAGGTTAACAACTTGATATTTCCATACTAAAACTGTAGTGCAAAATATGAAACATATCTGCTGCGAGGCTATTGAGAAATCTTTGTACAGAGGTTTTTTTCCCTTCAAGGTGTTCTAGTGTGGTGATTTACCCTTTGACCTTGACCCGTGACTATTTGTGTTCGGTGACTTGCTATGTTTGAAGCTTTGTGATGTAAAACTGTTTTTGGGCAACTAGGTAAGGCTTATTGTTGTAAAACTGTCTTTGGACAACTAGGCAATGCTTATCGTTGCACAGTTGTTTTTGGGCAACTAGGTAAAGCTTATCGTTGTAAAACTGTCTTTGGGCAACTAGGTAAGGCTTATTGATGTAAAACTGTCTTTGTGCAACTAGGTACGGCTTACCGTTGTAAAACTGTCTTTAGGCAACTAGGTAAGGCTTATCGTTGTAAAAGTGCTTTGGGAAACTGGGTAAGGCTTTTCGTTGTAAAACTGTCTTTAGGCAACTAGGTAAGGCTTATCGTTGTAAAACTGTCTTTGGCCAACTAGTTGAGGCTTATCGTTGCACAATTGTTTTTGGGCAACTTGTTAAGGCATATCGTTGTAAAACTGGGTTTTTTGGCAACTAGATACGGCTTATCGTTGTAAAACTGTCTTTGGGCAACTAGGTAAGGCTTATTGGTGTAAAACTGTCTTTGGCCAACTAGGTAAGGCTTATCGTTGTAAAACTGTCTTTGGGCAACTAGGTAAGGCTTACCGTTGTAAAACTGTCTTTGGCCAACTAGGTAAGGCTTATCGTTGTAAAACTGTCTTTGGCCAACTAGGTAAGGCTTATCGTTGTAAAACAGCCTTTGGGTAACTAGGTAAGGCTTATCGTTGTAAAACTGTCTTTTGTCAACTAGGTAAGGCTTATCGTTGTAAAACTGTCTTTAGACAAACTAGGTAAGGCTTAGCATTGTAAAACCGACTTTGGGCAAATAGATAAGGCTTGATGATGTGAAAATGAGTGATACATTGAAGCGTATCTATGTTAAATAAAATCTGGATAACGGTAACTAAGGGGCGCTCGAGTCGATAACCTCCGGTTGTTATTTGTTTGGACTCAACAAGCCAGGTCGGTTAAATATTGATAGCCAGATCAAAGTGACAGTGCTAGTTCTCTTTTATTAGAGGTAAGCACATGATGAGGCCAATCTAGTTTACACGCTTTTGTTTTATTGCCACTATTGATCGGCACAGGTGAGGTAGCAAACTTTGGTCCGGTAATCTAAGGTACTGACGTAAGACGGCTAAATTATATATAGCGACCCACGTCATCTTATCTGGAGGCTCGGGCTGTGGGCCAAGGATCGATAGCCGGAATCTGGCATACTTACACGGGTCGGCAACAATCGGTCTAAAACTGGTGATTGTAGCACTTTGACAATTCTAAGAAACAAGACAGTTTCATTGAGTCGTCCTTTCGCCGGGACGTCTGGCATACTTAAACTATAAAGAGGTTTATTGAGTCATCCTCTCGCCAAGACGTCCAACATCCTATGTATACATTTAGTGACAGTTACGGGGTGCCGAAGTGTCATGAACAGCATAACCAATAATGGCGTTCTAATCTCATCTTATTTGTCAAAGTCTACTATAAAATTTAAAGTTAAACTTGCCTATGTCAAATGTTTTGTACAAAGTCCAAACTGTTAATATCTTGTACTTATTGTTCAAGTCTATTTGTGATGGAAGATCGTTTGTTTAGTGTTATGTGTGATATCGTGATATCCGTTTGCTGTCTATATATTTAAACATCTTAACGAATGAGTTAAGAAATAAATCAATCAATCGTTGAACATCTCAAATTGACACCCCGAATTGACAAAAATAAACAAGAGACTGGTTTATCCAAATATACACCACCAAGCTGTTCCTAAATCTTGAACAGCATTATATCAATTAAGAGAATTACCACATGGTTTTCAGAAGGCGATCTTGTAAATCGAATCTCGATGAAAATCTTTGGTTGTGAATATCTGGTTTAAGCAAAAGAACTCATTTATGGGGAGATTGGTCGAGTGGTTAATACTCCGGCCTTCCAAGCAGGCGGCCGGGGTTCGACACCCAGAAGTCGTCGTACGCATGGAATATTCAGAGAAAGTGTTTTTCTCCTGTCCACACAACTCCAACAACCCAGGTGGAGTTTAAAATGGTCTGCGGTGGATGTTGCAGTATCTGTGTTGTAGCATTCAAGTGAGGTGGCACCATAAATGATACCGTTGAAAGCACGGTCCCACTATAAACAGAACACAATTCAACTCCAACACACACGCAGGCATACACACATAGGGAGATATTAGCCAAGTGGCATAGGACTAGTAGTAAGCGCCTGATAAGGCAGCTCCTGCGAATTCCTCAATATTGTATTGATTAATATATATTCTAATTGTATTGATTGTATAAAACTGTATTGATTGTATACAATTGTATATCTATGTACTGTAAAGCGCTTTAGAATGGCTTATGTTAGCTAGATAGGGCGTTATATCAAATGTTGTATATTGCACTTACCAAAATTGTCGTCCTCGATGGTAGAGTTGATTCGTTTGTTGTGGATGATAATGTGCCGTATTTTGAACACTTCGTCTTGAATGAGTATCATACCGTCACCTGTAAGTCCAACGACAACTTCTGCAAAACTGTCAAACAGTTCGGGAAAGTATTCTCTTCTCTCTGGTGTAGACTGTGACCATTTGGAACCATCCACGACAAGCGTCAGACCATTCGATGGATCCCATTCAGCATGAATGTTAACCCATGTGTCAGCGAATAGGCGAAACTTAATTTTCCAGACATGTTCCCTTTGAGAGACTCCAAACTCATACTGATCTCCGAACCGTTGAATTAGATACAAACCGTCTGAGAAGTAGAAGTTTCCACCGGAGGTAAAAAGGACTATCTCTGACGAGTCCTCGGTGACAGGGGCGGCATTTATCCAAAAGTCAACAGTGATTCCATTAACACATTTGTGGATGTTGCCTAGACACCAATGTGGGTGTACCCCCAGGTGGGCATACGCCCCCTCCTGAGGGTCAGTCTCCGATATTTTCAAGATCCCATCCTCGTAGTATTGAAGCTTAACATTGTCTTCGGATGTGCCATGTACGATTCCTGAAATGAATAGAATTATTGCCGTAAACCGTTCGTGAACGTCGCAGGTCTCAAACATTCTATTAAAACACTAATCCTGCTACGACTGGGTCATCTTAGGTTTGGTAATGTTTAATAAAAGGTAATATGTAACGAGAATGCGGGGATTCAATTGTTAGACATGTATAAGGATTCCTTTTTCTAGCATAAGATTTGTTTTTCGTGACAATAATAATCTATATTTAACGTCTGTTAACACTAAATGTGAGTTCTTTAAGCTTTTAGGTGCGACGCCGTTACGGGAACGAATGTTGTTTACTTGGTGGATGGAAAGGGAAAACCACTCTGTCACCGGAGTAATAACAATTTTTATGGACTGTTTTCTATAAAGATCACATATAATATATATATATATATATATATATATATATGTAAAACGAAGGCTCAATCTATCTCGAAACAAAGTCGTAACAGTGATAGAAGAGCTAAAGAAATAATATTTGTCATTTATACATTGAGAGTAAAACAAAAATATTTAACATAGCAAACATAATATTTAAACGATATTTTCTTCGTAAAGAAGATCATAAGTCATTCTTAAACTGACATTTATCATATTAAATTAAATAGTATCTTACCAGATAGAATGGCGAAGAGGATTATGGATTTCATAAATGTCGCGGTTTTCACCATACCATGTAGGTCAGGTTTTATACTCCCTGTACCGCCGAGGTGCCCACCTTTCTGGCCGGCCGATCAGGTAGGTAACAGGTATATAACTAGCTCAAAATCAGTTTGGCCAAAGCAGCCCCGCATTATCATAAATAACATGAAAGTTTGATGAAGGTAGAGCCAGAAATCGATTTGATTAAGACTGAGGTCTACTTGTACCGGCTATCATGGGAATTCTTCACAAGCAAGTCGTTCAAAATCTACCTGTTGCCGCCGTGTCGTTAATTATTTACACCAAATGAAATGTCGAATTTAATTAGGTTTGGACGTTTTCAGATGTATGGATCCTTATTATCTTACCTGAGATGTGGACCACATCAATAACAAGGTTCTACCTACCTCACCTAGGTGTAGCTATCTACCTCCTAGATGTAGATGTTTATTGGAGGGAGTGACTTACTGGTTACGCGCATGTTCACCTGACAACAACACTTAATTGAGAGGCATAGAAACCATCGTCAATAAATCATGATTGGATTCTTTCACAACAACAAGAAATAATTCCCGTACCTAAAATAAGACATTTGCTGTTTTATATAAGAAAAATAGATATATATGCATTTACGGAAACATGTTTATTGTCAGATTTTTTATCTTGAACTGGTACAATATCTATAATTAATGTTCTTTATCTACAGCTAGCATTTCCCCTATAGACTTAATAATGATATGATATCTGACTATTACATAACAACACACCATTATGTGGTGTAGAGCACTAACAATACTTCGTGGCGGTGTGATTAAAACGTCTCTCACGAATCTCTATCCCTAGCACATTCCAAATGAAATCATGAACTTTGTAAGAAAAATATTATATTATTTTTATATAACTTTCGCTAGTTGAACTTGTGTAACCCTCGTTGTTTGATTTTATATAACCCTTGTTAGATGACTTTACCTCTCTTTAGTTGTTTTTATATAGCCCTGGTTAATTGACCGGAAATCTCAGTCTGTCTCTTGAACGTTGACTAGCTCGAGTTAAATACATCTTGAACGGCCTCGAGGGCAACTTTTTGCGTTGATGACATGTATTGGAATGTCCATGCTTATGCTAAAATGATAAATAAGCCTGCTGTGACCTGGTCAAGACTCATTATCAGTGCGCAATGTAAGAATCGTACTAACTGTCCAAGGTTCACAGATCTATGACAACTTTCAACAGTATTATCAATGCCCATAGTAATATGTCAGAGGTCCTTAGTACAATACCAAAGTACAATGTCCGCAGTAATATGTCAGAGGTCCTTAGTTCAATACCAAAGTACAATATCCATAGTAATATGTCAGAGGTCCTGAGTTCAATACCAAAGTACAATATCCACAGTACCATGTCAGAGGTCCTGAGCACAATACCAAAGTACAATGTTCACAGTAATATGTCAGAGGTCCTGAGTACAATACCAAAGTACAATGTCCACAGTAATATGTCAGAGGCAGTCGCAACTTCTCGGCCAATTCCGGCTAGGCGCGGAATCATACCTCGAATGTATGCCGGCGGATTGATACGTACAGAATCGCTACATTTCCTTCGCCGGAAGACCAATTCACTCATACTTCCGCGTCTCTAATGTCAACAAATATGGCGGATTTAAACACGTGTCTAGATTATGCAAAAGAAAAACTGCAGGTTAGACATGTACTGAAGGAGAAACAAATTGAAACGCTTAAAAACGTTTTCAATGGAACAGACTGCATAGCTGTCCTTCCCACTGGTTATGGGAAAAGCTTGATTTTTCAGCTTATACCGTATATAATGCAGAGAAAACTGAAATTGAACAAACCGGCGATTGTTTAAGTAGTAACTCCGCTGAATTCTATTATGGAAGATCAAGTTTATTCACTAAGGGCTAGGGGTATTAATGCATGCTTCCTTAATATTGCTGGTCAACAGGGGTTTACATATGATGATGATGATCATGATGATGATGATGATAATGATGATGATGATGCAGGCAATGTAAATCTCCCAAAGTCGGTGTCTATACAGAAAATAAAAAAGGAGACTATCACCTTATGTATGCTCACCCTGAATCTCTCCTGAACAGTACAACCTTTTCAAAAGTACTCAGATCTCAACTCTATCAAGATAGGGTTGGAGCAGTTGTCATAGATGAGGTGCATATGATTTCAGAATGATGAGAAAAATTAACAAACACACATATTAGGCAGAATATAGAATTTTCCAGGCCAGGGGAAACCAAAAACGTGCATATCATACACAAATTTAATATCATATGCTGACTTAAGTATGCTTTTGAAAACGTTATGTTTAAAATGATGTTAATTATTTATTAATTTATTAAATTGGTCCAGTAGTTTATGAGAAGTCAAATGTTAAAAAATGTATGCTGACAGGCGAGTTATGAAGGGGTCAGGTGAGCTTAAAAAACCTCTACAATCCTTTGATCATCACATGCTAACTATTTCCTTTTTCTATTCTAAATCAATTTATTAAACTAATCCACAGGGGAGAGAGTTTCAGACCAGCTTTTAAAAAATTGGGTGAAATCACATGTATGTTCCCTGAGGCTGCACACTTGGCACTTACTGCAACAGCAACAGACAGAAAGATAAATGACCTGTGTAAAATCCTGCAATATCAACATCTTAATGTGGTTACTGCAAATCCGGATAGACCAAACATTCACCTTCAGGTGGAAAAAAGACTGCCGAACATACATAATTTTTTTTTTTAAATCAAATAATTGGGCCTATTACAGAACTCTTAAAGACACAGTTAGCAGGATTCCCTGTCACAATTGTTTACATGAAAAGTTTAGAGGCTTTAAGCTATTGTTATTATTACATTTCCTACCATCTACAAGATTTGCAATATCGAGGTGAAAAAATTCCAGAAAATAGAAATTTTGGACAATACCACAAAGACTATACACTTGAATGCACCCTCCATTTCACAGATCATTCACTGTCGACCACCAACAACACTGGAAAGTTACATGCAGGAAATTGGACATGCTGGTAGGAATGGTCAGCCAAGCAAAGTCCTTCTCTACTTCAACAACAGTGACATATCAAAGGCTCGAAAAGGAATGTCTGATGATATGATCAATTATTGTAAACATGAATGTTCCTGTTTACGTGAACTACTGGTGAAATATTTTGGATTTCAAAATGTCCTATTCAACAAGGCTCCTTCTGTTTGTTGCTGTAATTGTAATAAGACAAAACAGGACTGAACAAATCCATGTTGTCTTTAAGGTAAACTAACATTAAACAAAAGTAATCCATTGACAGGCAAATAAGTTGTATATACATAGAGAACATCTGCATTAATAGCAAACATTAACTTGACAACTGATTTTAAATTCATTAACAATAAATGTTCAACATTGTGTTTTAAAAGTGAAAGTATCAGTCTCATTTAAATTACTCTAATTTTGTAAGTACAATTTCTGTGGTTTACATCACTCATTTTCACGGTCAGAATTATCAGCTGAACTGTCTGTACCATCATCAATAATAGGAGACAGATCTCTTAACAGCCTTTCCACAGTCTCCGGAATGATAGATTTGAAATGCGTTCTGTCAAATTCAAAAGGAGAGTGCATCACTTTCTGCTGCAGTTTACGTCCATTGTGAAATGTCCAAATGTCCAGTTTCTGCAATTTTGATAACAAACTTGTTGTGACATCGGATCTACTACGAACCTTATGACTGGTCTTCACAGTTTTAATTTTTGTTGGCATGTCAAACATTTTACAGACACTTTGTATTACAGGTGCTGCTTTTGTGACATTTACAATAGCTTTCTCGATTTTGTTTGCTCCTAGACCACGGATAAGTTCTTTTAAAAACTTAACTTCATTTTCCTTGTGTAAGTCAGCTGCTTTGTTTTTTCCAATACCACCAGTAGGATTGACAATAGAAGCTGCTCTTACTTTCATTGACATCCTTGGTGACAGAATGTGTTCAGTTTTTAAGATGTAATCTATACATTCAGTAAGATATTTTGACAGGTAAGAGTGACTGTAGAAAAAAAGTATCATTTGTTTCAAAATTACATTTATTCTGTCTATATCACCCTCAAGCAAAGCGTCTTTCATTTGAAGAATAACAAAGTACCACTGCATAAAATTCACCACATAATTGTTCAGATCATCATTGATGACACATGGTTTGAATAGTTCAAACTTCATTGGTACTGACACTCCTGGAATATTGATAACACACCCATGACAAACGGTATTCAAGTTCAGTGACACAATAATCTTCTTTCCACTAATGTCTAAAATAATATTGACAGTATCATTGTCAATCAAGGGTGACTTTGTTATGAAAATTGATGGTGGCTGTGTTAGAGCTGTTACAGTAATCTGTGCATCATCATCTATTGGCCCCTGAAAATATAAATGAATTATAAAACTTAAAATTCAAATTCTTTATTATAAGAAAGCTCACAATTGAACATGGTTATAAGTTACAAAGAGATGTGAAGAAAATAATACAAAAGACAATACTGAGTTAAAAATTGACAAAACAAAAACAAATAAACATTATTTATTAACCAAGGGAGACACCCAGAAGGTGTTTATCTTATAACTTCTATACTTTTTTATGTTCTGCCATTCAGTAGGTACCATCTAGATATGAGAATAATACAAGTTGATGAGCAGACATGATAGTATTAATTCCTTGCACAGGGTGTTGACCCTCCAGTTATAATCTATTTCAGTCACTTGAGTAGTGTATCTATTCTACAATTTTTTAAGATTAAGCAAACAGAGGTTAATTTTGTTTTTGTGAAATGAAACTGACATACTTAACCTTAAATGTATATTTTACTGAATGTATTTTTAACAAATAGATGTACATGTATTATGGTAGTTACCGCCAGTTGAAATGGTATAAATATTTCTCCTACAACTTCATCCATAATTTTGTTGAAAACTTCCAACTTTTTGGCATTGATAAAGTTGTTGATGCTCTCGGAAATAGCAGGATGTACTGGCTTCCCTTCTACACTGTCCATG